ATTCTATGGCCGCGATATCGTACGCAGTGGCAGCTTCTTCTTGCGTCGCTACGAAGATTCAGATTCAAATTCTCAACAATTTTTGTTTTTTTTTTTTTAAATTATTCAATCCCGATACAATTTTTTTTGCCATATAAATGAAATCTGAGTTTATCCTAATCGTAAAATACAGTTCATACAAAACAATATAAGGAGTCTATTGTCGCATTGGACGACATATTAATGAAAAAAAAAATATTAATGTTTTTCTTTTTAACTAATGTTGGTTTAAATCATAGCATTTTGGTCTTAGTGTAAAGTTTATGCATTATACTTTATACCATATCCAATTTCCAAACTACATGATATATACAAATGAGTTGAAATATAAGTTTCTAGGATATGTGATGTGCACATATTCACTTACAACTTTTATTAAACACACGTTATGTACATTGGATAATAACTAAAATACATTGTTTATATGCATGAATATTCTTGCTAACCAAATAAAATAATGATAATATATGTATTATCTATTAAACTACTATACTTAAATTAATTAACCTTTGTACTTCTCCTTTCAATTTCAATACACTGAATATATATATATTATATAGATACACATGACCAATGTTTTTATTGTACACAATCTCAATATTTTGAAAATGTTTATTAATTAATTAATTAATTTCCAGTCTAAAAAAAATAATTAAAACTTGTAGACTGGGTACATTAAAATTAATAGAAAATAGAAGAAAAAAACACACCATATGTTCCGAGATAGAGATACTTGTTGCCAAACACCCTCCCAATCCGAGCTTCCCATCTTCCATTGTGATGGTGTCTGCAAATCAAACATCAAGCATCCAAAATGGGCATCAATCAAATCACCACTCTAAAAAATCGCAATATTACGGATAATCAAATTTAATCACCGATAATTTTCAAATGCATTATTAGTTTAATTACCTCGCAACGCCTCTGTACTTAGAAACCCCCCGAGAAAAGCCACTGCTTTTTCTGCAAGTTTAATTAAATTAACATTAATTATACATAAAATTTAATTTCCTCTTACTCTCCTATGAAATGACCAATCCAACCTTCTCAACGATCCAATGTATTCTTCTCTCGACTGACCCTCCATTTCCTTCACCTCTTTTTGGTACGATGTTAGCTGAGAGAGGCCGCCAAAATTATAATATATCACAAATTTCAGCATTAATTAATTTTGCTTGATCACTATTATTACTGTGAAAAACCAAATTACCGGAAAATTAAGAATGGTTTCTTGACCCCAGTACTTCAATGCTGCAAGGTCGTAAGCATGTGCTGCTGCTTCCTCATCATCATACGCACCTTTCCCAAAATACCCCCGGGAAAAACCAATCAATAAATATGGCTTTTACGAAAATGCAACTATGATAAAAAAAAATATAAAATAAATCGCTCACCAAGATAAACTGCGCGTTTTGAGCAGCATTCAATCAGCGGGGGGAGATTGAGATTGAGATGTCAATGATAACGAAACCAAGTTTAGGAAGAGAATATTAATATTTGTTACTGAAATTTCAAAATAGAATAATAATTATTAATTAATTACCCTGTCTTCCTTTCTTGTTCTGCGATTCATTCCAGCAATTCTTATCCCACAAATGAGCTTCGTATCTTCCCGTCCATCGATGCCTAAACATTTCAAAACCAGAATCAAATTACCGATCGAAATCAGAGAGTAGCAAAGAAACCATCGGCGACGAGATTACTGAACCTGGTGACGCCGCGGTAAATGGAGCTTCGTTGGGGAGGAGAATCCCTAGGGACGCTCCTCCGAGTTCGCTTAGTCTTGGTCTTCATTATCGAAATTTTATTTAAATTGTTGGTGGAGTCCGTAATCTGAAGGTGTTGTGATGTGGATTTGGCCATGGGAGATGAAATTATTGTGAAGATTGACGATAAAAGCTATGGAGGGGAGGGAGGGGGAGATAATAGTTTATATATAAATTGGGGCTCGGAGCGGATTAGGGTTGGGGCTCTGGCGTTTAATTGAAAATACAAAATAGAGCTTGAGCTAGCTGTAAGGGTAACCGGCCATGGAGGTTTGTTGTGGTAGTGCTAATGGCTGAATCGGTTTTTTAGTGGGTGGCTTCTTCTTCCTTGTCTTCACTCTTCACTTTCCATTTTCGTTGTGTGGTAAAATTGCAGCCGGCCATGGAGGTTGTTCTTTCTCCATTTGCCGTCTTTAATCGGCTTCATTGCCTGGAATCTTTTCCATTTTTATTTTTTATTTTTACATTCGTTTAAAAATAAATAATCTTTAACAAAAAGTT